CTAATGGCTTTTCTCTGTTTTAAGATCCAGTTGGGGAGTGGGGGGTGCAGGGGCTGGAGAGGTGGCTCAGCAGTTAAGAGTACTTGTTGCTCTTGCAGAGGATCCAGGTATGGTTCCCAACACCCACACACGTGATAGTTCACAGCCATCCACAACTCAGATTTTGAGGGGACCTAATGGCTTCTTCTGACTTCTGAGGACACCAGGCCTACACATGATATGTATAAATACATGCAGGCAAAATATACATAAAGTATACAGTGTTCTGCCTGCACACCAGAAGAGGGCGCCAGATCTCATTACAGATGGTTGGGAGCTACCATGTGGTTGCTGGGAATTGAACTCAGGACCTCTGGAAGAACAGCCAGTGTTCTTAACCTCTGAGCCATGTCTCCAGCCTAAAATATACATAAAGAAAAAGTGAATAAATTTAAAAGAAAAAGACTCAATCTAGAATCCACACTATACTGTTGTCTTCTATGATTTTTGACATGGAGTATTATTCAGATACAGAATTTATTGACTGTCAAAAAAGTCATGTCTGTTTTTGTGTTGCAGCGATAATACCACAGATTGGGTGATTTATACTGACTGGAAATTTTTTGGCCCACTGTTCTTGAGGCTGGGAAGGCTTATGTTGAGAGTTCAGTACCTGATGAGGCAATTCATGCTGGTTATCTGTCAAGGAAGGGCAAAGAAATAGTAGTAGAACAAGAGAGAGGGGGGGGGGAGGGAGAGGGAGAGAGGGAGGGGGAGAGGGAGAGGAAGTAACATGTTGAGGAGCGGCTGGGTTTGTCTTCTGTGGTGCAGCAGTGCTCCAGTCTTGAGGGCAGAACCTCATTAAGATTCTACCTCTTAACGCTGTTACATGGGGAACAAGATTCCTATGGTTACAGTGGGGCCAACATTTAAACCGTTCAATAGACTGTGCTTCAGTTTTCACTTTGACCTAAGAAGGGCATGTGTGCTATTGAAAGAAAGAGTTTGATGCTAAGACCGTCATGATGGTGCTCCTTAGTGGTCCTTCCTTTTGTTGTCCCTAGTGTCTGTTTCCTGGGGGACATCCTGACAAAACAGTATCCCTGCCTTCTGTGGCCTTGTAGCAGTGTTGCTGTGAGGCAGAGCACAGATCCCTTGTGAGAGAGCCTGTCTACATAGTGAGTTTCGGGCCAGTTAGGACTACATTGTGAGACCCTGTTTCCAAAAGAAACAGAATTACCAAGTGGGATTACTGAATTAAGTTACTGTGGTCCTGGGATGCTGAACAGTTTTTGGCTGTGCTTTAATGGAGTTTGTGTTTAATTGTTTTCAGAGTAAAGCTGCTGCCAAAACAGGATCTTCCAAGTACCAGTGGGACATTATGAAATCCCTTGGGCTTTCTGATGAAGACATAGTGAAGTTCTCTGAAGCGGAACATTGGCTTGATTATTTCCCACCACTGGCTGTTCAGGATCTGAAGAAAATAGGTTTGAAGGTATGCCATCGCCATCAGTGTTAACAAGTGAAAGGCATTAACTTTTATATCACTTAAAAATATAGGGAACAACTTTTAAATTTACAGCAGTTATTCTGGCTGAATGTCACCAAAATTTTGGATGTTATTTGTTGGCAACTAGTGGGACTCAATGTGAGGAAGAAAACTTCAGTATTTGTCTTATCAGAATACATTTATTAACAGTTGGTAAGAAAGGGGTTTTATTTAAAGAATATGAAGACACCAAAGTGTCTTTAACTCGAGTATGTTGACTGTATTAAGTATTTCTTTTAAATTTACTATAAATCTTATATGTTAGCTAATATGTAAGTGTGGTTTTTTTTGTTTTTTGTTTTTTTGTTTTTTGAAACAGTTTTTCTAGGTAGGCTTGGCTGTCCTGGAACTCCCTCTGTGAACTAATTTGGACTCAGATTCAGAGATCCACTTGCCTCTGCCTCCTGAGTGCTCAGCAAGTGTGTATATTTTAAAACCTATTAATTAAACAAATTATTTTAATGATTTATATGTGTTTAATGTGTGG